AACATTTTCAACAACTAAAAAAATCAGTATTTTCTTAAAGATGGAACGATAAAAATACAGTCCTAAAATCCCCTCTGTAAAAACCCTTTACTCTAATATATATCAACAAAATAAGAAGTAGAAAGAAACAAGAATCTTGAAGCAGACTTCATCCAGTTTTCTTATTTTTTGTTCTAGAAAGTCATGCTAGTGCATATTTAACTAAACAATGTCTCATTTGCATATTTAAACAATAAATTAGTGTATAATGTATAATGATAATTATTCATTCATTCATGTTGCTTCGGTTTAGACCCTTTATTCATTAGTGGTCACCACAGCGGAATGAACCGCCAACTTATCCAGCATATGTTTTACACAGCGGATGCCTTTCCAGCCGCAACCAAGTACTGGGAAACATCCATACACTCTCATTCACACACATACACTTCGGCCAGTTTAGTTTATTCAATTCACCTGTACCGCATGTCTATGGACTGTAGGGGAAACCGGAGCACCTGGAGGAAACCCACGTGAATGTGGGGAGAACATGCAAACTCCACACAGAAATGCCAATTGACCCAGCGACCTTCTTGCTGTGAGGCGACAGTGCTAACCACTGAGCCACCGTGTTTCCTGTGATAATTATAATAATTATTTTTTTAATTATATTTTTTTCGAAGGTTAAGGTGGCTTTCCACAATTCCGCTTCACTCCTGGCCTGTGTAAATGGAGCATGTGAGGAGTCGGACAGTCAGCTCTCTGCTTCCCTTCTTTGCAGTGATGATGGAGGAAAAACTCTACAGTTTCAGGAGAACTTGACCATTCAGTACAGCAATAACAGCATACAGGTGCCTTTATTTTTCTCAAGTCTCGGAACAAAAAGCACTTTTTGAGGATCACAAAGTAGGCTTTAATCACAGCTGCAATTTCAAGACAATTTTCAACAGAAAACGTGTAATAATCAAATGTTTTGGTATTTTTTATTTTAAAAAGTGAGAGAAAGGAATACTGTAATTTGCCAAATGAGTCTAAATTAATCACAATAGATTTCTATTTAAAATAAATGTTCATTAGAAAAAACTATCACGTTTTTTGAGCAGAAATAAATTCCACTTTAAAGGGATAGTTCACCCAAAATTTTTTTTTTTTCACTATTCACTCATACTGAAGTAGTTTATAATCCTATGAGTTTCTTAATTTTGTTGAACAACAAAAGAAAATATTTTTTAAGAAAGTTGGAAACCTGTAACCATTGACTTCCATAGTATTTGTTTTTTCTACTATGGATATCAATGGTTACAGGTTTCAGTTTTCTTCAAAATATTAAAATAAAGAAACGCATTAAGGTTTTGAACCACCTGAGGGAGAGTAAACAGTAAGTAAGTACATTTTAAATCTTGGGTGAACTATCCCTTATTAAAATGGATAATGTATTTTGAATAAAAATATATATTTTTTGCTGTATTTTTATCTCTAAAGACACTTTAGACTGCCAAAGTTTTAAACTATTCACAGTCATTAACAGTTAGCAACAAGGTTTTCTAAAGTCAAATTCATCCATGTTTTAAACACTGTGGTCTGTTTGCACTATTTCAGACAGTCTCTCTTTACGCTCGTCTGGCATTACCTACACTACACCTGTCCAGTGCCACTGTGGATTTTGGCACCTGTTATGTTGGACAAACAACTGTCAAAGAGATTTATCTTCACAACAGAGGTGGCTCCTGTAGCTACTGGACCACACTCACAGGTATAACGCTTCGGCAATCATTTCAGCAACAGATTAAAAGATATTAAATGGTCAGTTTGCCAAAGATGAAAGCACAAATTTCTTGTTTCAGTCGAGATATTTAACAGCCTTTTATAGCTACAATTGCAGTGGTCAGTAGATGTTAATCAGTGGTCCAAAAGAAGTCCAATAAAATGCATTCATCTATTATTTTTATCCACCTATAAGTTCTCTTTTAGAGAATCCATATTTAAAACTTTATAAACCGTTTTGTGTAACTTCTGACGATTACATGGTGTCATCATCGCCGTCTGTTCAGGTACATTTTTTAGCTGGACTGAACTTTGTTTTTCTCTGTCTTAAGTGTAAAGTGCATGTGCAGTTCAAACAAAAGCAGAAGCACAATCAGGGTTCCTGCAGGGTTCTTTAAGGCATTTTAAGACCCTTTAAGACCATAAGGACTGAAATTTTGACTTTTACAGAGCTAAACACTAAGGATTTTTACTAATGGCCTAGTTACTTCTATAAATATTTTTTCTATTAATAAAAGATCTTGTAAAGGGATGCATTGCTTTAGTTTTCTTTCTTTCTGTAGTTTTCTTTACTTAAGTATAAAAGATTTTTGAGAAGTATATTGGTATTGGGATTCAGCCTGATTGGGTAGCTTTAATTGTACATAGACAAATTGAGACACGTTTAAAATGATTTAAGACCTACAAGACAATATTTCAGTGAATTTAGGCTTTTTAAGGCCTAAATTTTAGATTTTGAAATGTAAGACTTGACTTTTTAATATCCCTCAGATACCCTGACAATGAAGAAAGAAAAACAAAATGCAGCCCTTTTTGTCCAGCTGGTAGTGCAAATGCACTAAACAAATGCACCTCAAAATAGATGAAGATGACATAGGGCGATCGACAGAAATTACACACAATGCTTTATAAAGTGTATTGATATTTTTCTTGCAAAACCCCATAGATTCTCTTGCACACTGAAGCAGTTTGAGTCTGTCCACTTTTGACAAATTCGGCTGTTTGCATCTGGTATTAAGATAATCTACAGTAACTACAGGTGTAAACTGTGTCTGAAATGTTTTGATCTTGTTCACTTTAGCCCTGTTTACACGTGATTTAAATATGCATTTTCATCAGCCTAATCACAATTGGAAAAAACTTATTACAGGTGTAAATAAAGTCTGTTTTGAGCATGTCCACACTGAAAATAATGTAGCAACAGCGATACTGGCATTTGCATGGATCAATGGCAAATTGCATTTTGAAGCCGTTTGATCTTTTCAGTTACACCGATTACTTTAGTCTCTGTTTGAGCTTGTGTTTTTGTTTTGTGTGTAGATGGCAATGAAGTGTTCAGGGTAAGTCCGGATTCTGGTTTACTGAAACCTCTTGGAGATCCAGCGTCCTGTAGACAGCTGCTGCAGATCAGCTTCACTCCGAGGTACAGTCTGTTTTAACAGTCAATTTTTTGATAATATTTTGATATAACAGCAATGGAGCAGATATTACCTCCAATGCTGGTCAAGTAAAGTATTTGGCCGAACAGTTTATTTATTTTTATTATTAAAGGGCTTGTAAAGTGCATTGAAATGTGCATTTTTGTTCAACGTGTGACGTAATTTTAACTGAAACATGAAGACACGGTAGAACAGAGTAGCCCCTCCACGTTAAAAAAAAACAGCCAAAACCTCTGCAGTGACATTGGTTAAACTCATGCACATATAGCAATAGTGTCCTGAAGGGGGCAGAATGTGTCAGATACTAGAAAGCAATTGATTGGTCAGATTTGATGAGTAAAAATTTGACCCACTTAGGTGGAAGTGACAAACTGCAAGCTTTAGAAGTTTATAGCTTCTCATTCTCTGCTAATTTTGTCACACACTAGTTTATAGATACCCTTATGCTGTGTTCACACTAGACACGTGAACATGTTGAGGTTACTTGCTTCATTCGAGTATGAAATTCACATCACAATAGACGTAGATTTGTGTGTGGGCAGGGCTTCTGTCCGTGTTTGAGTCCACTAGATCCTTTCTGAGGTGCACCCAGCTCTGTCAGCTCATCAACAACTCCAGAAACTACCTGGATGATGGAAGTTTTTAGCAGTGCTTATGACTGAGCTGAGCCCAGTTTGATGAACTGTTGTCTTATGTCAGCAAGAGGATTTCCTCTCAGGACACCAACAACAGAATCATAATCACGCCCTTACAAGAGAAAGCTCCTCGTTGGTCAATAAGTCGCGAATGTCCACTGAAGTTCGGATTTTCCAATTTGTGCGTTAAGTGCATCAAACACGCAAAGCACTAAACTCCGATCACTCGTGCTTGATGCTTCCACCTAGGGTGTGAACGCAGCATTATGCGTGATAGCAGCGAAAAAGCAGCTAAAAACAAGATAAGCTCCTATAAATATTTGTATTTGTGTTTATATCGTGATTTTCTAAACATAATATTCAACTTTATACTAACAGTATTTTCCTCATAGAGAACAGAAAGAGTTCCAGACAATCTTCACAGTGCAGGGGCTTCTTGGAGAGACACCACTTGTTCTAAAGGTCAGCGGAAGAGGATCATTTGATGAGAGTTTTGTATCTCCAATAACTGACAGCTCACAAAACAACACTGAGTAACACAAATAAGTGCTGAGAAGCAAATTATATCTCTGTGATTAGACACTGGTCCCAGTGTGCTTCAAATATTGTCTTTGTAAAAGATTCTTGAAATTCTGAAGACGATTAAACATGAGAACATTAGCAAATGGCTCAGTGTATAATTGATTGCAGATCAAGGATCAAAGGTCGAGTTAGTTAAACAGTGACTTCACATATAAACACACAGCCATTCTAATGTTTTAGAAAGAAGTCACATATGCTCTTAAATGCTGTGTTTATTTGAGCAAAACATGGTCAAACTGTAATATTGTAAAATATCATGACAATTAAAGGTTTGTATTTTTAATGTTTTAAAATGTCATTTAGTTAATCAAGTCTTCAATGTCACATGATTATTCAGAAATATTTAGATGATTATAGTATGACTTGTTACCCCAGAATCATTTATTATTGTTTAATTGTTACTTAATATGTTATCGCAACTTTTTTTCTTTATGGAGTTTCAATTTCAAAGGAAATTAATTTATTTCTTTTTTAAATATAAATAGATATATTCATTTTATTTTGAAACAGTTATTTAGTGTCATTTTTGATCAATTTAATTTTCTTAAAATCTTACGGACTTTTTAACAGCAGTGAGCCTAGCTTTTGAAACAACACTTCAAACATTACAAACCTTTTTATTCTAACAAATCAGAGGCATTACAAATCTTAGCATATTACACTTGTCCTCAACACGGGTAATTAAAAAACATTTTTTCTAATCATCATTTCTGAGTTTTACTGTTATATCAACATAAAAAAAAAACATTTCTGTTGCAAATCAAACAGACAAAAGTTGTAATTCTGATTGCTTAACTAGATACAGGCATCAGAGTTGAAATGCAAGGCACTTGAATGAGAGGTATCATTACCATCCTTACAACCTTATACCTACTTTATGCACATAAACAAGTGTGCTCCCTCTACTTGTGTTCTGTAGTTAGCGTTCTAGCAGCTTAATTAAAGAGAATTTTAGAATAGTTGCTCTGTAACTTGCATCTTAAGATCACTGTCCTGGATACTCGAAAACTGCTGCCGCTCCCATTCCAGTTCCGATGCACATAGACACCACGCCAAATCCTCTGTTACCAAAAAAATAACATCAAAATTGTAAATAGGACAATTAATTACACACTTTTTTCTGCATTAGGCCTATATTACAAAGTGGTATGATTTGCAACGTGGAAAACTTGAACTGAGTTCAGTCATATAAAATAGAAATTAGTGTATCTGTCTGTCAAATTAACTAAGTGATCAAATCACATCAATTTACATTAAATCAGTGTAATTTCACCTCAACGGAACAAGGGCTAATTTTAAAACTCTCTTAATGTTAAACACTTGAGTTTTACCATTTTTTTAATCCATGCAGATTTTAGCTTAGCTTAGCAAAGATCATTGAATCCTAGACTATTAGCATTTCGCCCAAAAATGACCAAAAAGTTTCAACAATTATCCTATTTAAAGCTTGACTCTTCTGTACTTACAGTACATATGACAGAAAATTAAAAGTTGCTATTTTCTAGGCCATTATGTGCAGCAACTATAATTTCATTTCAGCATAATAATCAAGGAACTTTTGCTGCCGTACCATGCCTGCAGAAGGCTCAATGATATTACGCAGAGCCCTGTAAGTGGACTCCACAGGATATTCCATCATGATTCAAGTTTAAAGGAGCGTACATGTATATGTTTCATTCAAATGGGTTTTTAATTGTGCAATAGAACTGAAATTGTTCAAGAAATCGATTATAAGATTTCCAAATACATCGTTATTCTCTCTTGATTTATTTCTGACCTCAGTTTTAACATCAAATGGCGATTTGGGCTAGTTTTTAGGGCGTACTCACACTATGTACAGTTGCCTTGAACCGTGCCAAAGCACGCTTGTCCCCCCTTCCGTCTCCCCCGAAAGCCCGCACTCACATTACATTCGGGCCAGAGCACGCTTATGTCATCGATGATGCACTGTTCAGTAATTGTTTCGTCTCAACACAGTGGAGATTTCTTTCTGTTATATCATTAAAGTCGTTTGATATGCAGTGACACACAGTCAAATATTTTGCCGAACAGATCAGCCACTTTTGACGCTCATTAGCAATCATAAAGTCCTTATGCTGCAGGAATTAGGAGGTTTGCTGAAGGTGCAGTGAGGGGTTTGCGTCTTTAATAATCTATGACAGTTTGCGCTCATTGAACAGTAAGAGTGATTAATAAATCCATATGAAACAGTCCCTTAAAAGTAACTTCTCACTTTCAGTTTCAGGCTTAGGCATGTTTTTACTTACACACAAGCATACCGCGCCAAAGCCATTGGGAAGTGTATGCGAAAGCTGAGTGGCCTTCTCTGAATTTAAGAAGATACACCCACTGGACGACTCTGGTCTATAGGCTCTTCTGGGTCTGGTGCCTTTATACCCAAAGCCCTAGTGAACCTCGCTCAAGCACATCTCTTCCAACCGGGCCAGGGCCAACCAAGTGAGCCGTGCCTGAGCCTGACTCAGAACACTCACACTTCTCAAACAATCTTGGAAACTGGCCTGGGCATGGTTCGGATAGCATAGTGTGGGTAAGCCCTTAATTGTACACTTAAATGCTCACTGAATAGCACTTTTAAATGACATTCACACCTGACATGGCTTGAGCTAATAAATTGCGCTTTTGCACGTAAATAGACACGTGAACATTTTAAATTTACTTCACTTGTGCATAAAATTCGCTTCACAATAGATGAACAACCACAAATTCCTGTCATGGGCGTCTGTCTGCCCACTGACTCTAGTTTCATTGCTAAATGGCTAACATGGGTTTTATTGAGAAAGTAGCTTTGCTTTATATGCTTTAGGAAGGCTGAAAAACAGCATAGATTCGTTCGTTGCTGTGTCTGAATCTACTAGATCCTTTCAGAGGTGCACCCAGCTTTGTTAATTCATCAACAGAAACTCCAGAAACTACACCTGGATGATGAAAGCTTTCAGCAGTGCTACAGACTGAGCCAAGCCCAGTTTGATGTCCAGTCAGCCCTGTGTTGGCTGGAGGATTTCCCCTTGAGACACCAACAACAGTCGTTACGTCATAATCACACCCATATAAGAGCAAGCTCCTGATTGGTTTACATGAATGTCTGTTAAAAAAGTTCTGATTTTCCAACTCAATCGATTTGAGTGTCAAGTGCGTGACCATTAGGCTTTTGTCATAAGAATTACGTAAGCAGCTCATTTAAAACACGTAGTTCGCTTAACCTTTTAAGTGGTATTTGTTGCAAGGAATTGGATGCAAGCAGAGTATGGCTGTTTGTAAAGCATACAGCGCCCTCTGCTGTTTAAAACTGCAAAATCTCAAAATGAAAATAGAATGGATTTCTCAGACATTTTTTCACCACTGCTCTAGTGTGTGATATGAATTCAACATTTAAATACTATGTTTTTTTTTACAGATCTTAGGTTATTTTTATATACGTGTAGGTTTTTATAATAAATTTAATTTACCTCTTCCGTCTGCGTTTGAGCTCATTGAGCAAAGTCACGACCTGTCGAGCACCAGTACAGCCCAATGGATGACCAAAAGCTATGGCTCCTCCATTTGGATTCACTTTCTCCATTGGAATACCCAGTTTTTCCACACAATACACAGCCTAGGAAAAAAAATTAAGTTAATAACAGTGAAATCCTTGCAAAAAAAAACAAAAAACAGAAGTAATCATAAAAAAACACAGATCAGTCACCTGACTGGCAAATGCTTCGTTGATCTCAAACACATCAATATCATCCACAGTCAGTCCTGCGCAGGCAGATCCAATAACACGGCTCATTTACAACCATAATTCTCAAGTAATGAAAATTGATTTCAGAACATTTTTCAAGCCTGATTATTGCTAGAATGTAAATGGCTCAGATGAGTGTAGAGATGAGAGAAGTGAAGTGAACTCTCACCAGCCAGTTTGAGGGCTTCTGGGATTGCATAGGCTGGGCCGATGCCCATTACATCCGGAGGAACACCCACCACAGCGCTTGCCCTCAGCACCCCAAATACAGGAAGTCCCAGTTTCTCAACCGCAGATCTCCGGCCAATCAGCACTGCTGCAGCGCCATCACTCACCTGACTGGCATTACCTGCAATAAAAACAAGCAAGAACTAAATTACGGAACTTAACAATTAAGTTCTGTGTTGCAAAATCCAGCATACGCACCAGCTGTGGTGCTGCCGGTGTCCTTGAATGCCGGTCGCAGTTTGGCAAGGCCTTCTAATGTAGTCCCAGGTCGTATCCCATCATCCTTTGTGACAGTAATGGTGCGCTCAGTGCCATTTTCCTCCACAAATTTAGTAGTGACTGGTGTGATCTCTTGATCAAATATGCCGTTCTTCTGTGCCATGGCTGCCCTAGTGTTATAATAGTTCACAAAATATTGAGTACTTTAAGTGAATCTATGCAAAATACTAAACTATCAAATGATATGGCAGCACCAACTTTTGCTGGGAACTGAGAGCAAAGCGATCCTGTTTTTCCCTAGTGATCCCAAATCTCTCAGCAACATTCTCTGAGGTTATTCTAAAAGACAACAGAGGGGAAAAAAGCTTATTCTAATTTTAACGTTTAAAGTATTAAAGTATTAATAGTGTATTAAAGAATAACATCTATACCCCATGGGAATGATGCAGTCTCTAGCCTTCTCATTGTCCATTAGTCTGGGGCTGATGTCTCCTGGGTTATTCGGGGAACGTAGAGACATGCTTTCAACACTGCCACAAAAAAAAAAACAAGAAGAAAGTGAGGATCTGTAAGATTGACACTTAGGCTTTGTTCACATAATCTAAACTAATGATTTTTACAAATTGTTCCACCCCTGTGCAGAACCAACCATTAATTTCCATTGCCCAAGGTGAACAAATAAATTTAGTGTCCAGCTAAAAGTATTTAGGCTTTTTACTCGATCAGTAGCTTTCCTTCAAAGAACACGTAGCAAATTTGGTTCGAAATTTGAGAGATAAGCTTGCATCCTGCTTTTCTCTTAAAGCTCGTAAACAATTGGTGTCTGCAACATTTTTCCCATTGATTAACTATGGTGATGTTTGATGTATGAATGCTTCAACCAAATGTCTTCAGCCTTTAAATTATGTTTATTACAGCACTCTGAGGTTTGTTACAGGCTGTCAGAGACTAACTTACCATTGTGAAGTGTATGCCAAAGCTGAGTGGCCTTCTCTGAATGTAAGAAGATACACCCAATGGATGACTCTGGTCTATTGGCTCTTCTGGGTCTGGTGCCTTTATACTTAAGTTCCCTTCTTCATAGGTCAAAAAGCAAGTATGCCCTATGTTCAAGTAAATCTTATCATTTGCCTGTTCCCCTCGAACTGAAACGGGGAGGCGCGCCTTTAGTTATGCCACCCCCTTATCCTGGAATACTCTTCAGTCTAAACTAAAGATATCTGAGCTCATCCCAATCAATTATTTTCGCTCTATCCTTTTTAACAAACATCTACAGTCCATTTTTTAATGTATGTGTTTTTAACATACTGTAATGTGGTATAGCTGAACAACTAAACTGTATTTTTATATTATCTAAATTTTCTATTTATTATTAATATTATTATTATTTTTTCATAAGTTGTGTGTTGCAGACCTCTTGGCCAGGTCACCCTTGTAAAAGAGATCTTGATCTCAATGGATTTTTATCTAGTTAAAGTAAAATCCATATACATAAAGTTTGATATGGACCAGAAAAATTATCAATTTAGTCCTTGCTTATTTAGAATTCACACTGAAAACTTAAAAAAGGGGGTTTTATTATGAATAAAGTTTATTTGAAAGCAGACTAAGACCCATTTTTTCAAGAGAACTTGGTCCACTTGTTTGGTGCAGAGCTAAGTTCAGATGTCAGCATAAATCATCAAATTAAATCTAATCAATCCTGTGAAACGCAAAAATGTTTACGGTGTAAAAGCTTAAGAGAACCAGGAATTTGCGAATCTGTTACATTATTTAAATCCTAACTTAAAGTCTCAGGGGTTATTCAAGAAAATATTGTATTGCTGGCAAACGGTTTAAACAGATAATATCAAATTTTTAATACTACATATCTTTCACTACAGATTTGCCATACTGTACTAACCCACAAGCAAGTCCCAGGTCATAGGAACCTCCTCTGATTCCACCTTAAAACAAAGAAAATATCCTGTGACAACTGTAATCTTGTACCCTATTAAGAGTGAGCCATTTTACAGCTTTAATGTCATTCTTACCTGCAATATTAAAAAGTGCCTGTAGTCCAGAGGAGCACTGCCTGTTTACAGTATAGACTGGTACGGACTCTGGAAAGCCACTGAAATATAAAGTCAGCCAATTCATATATTCAACATCATTGATTTATTATTCTATAGTAATATCAATTACTTAACTCACTTTAGACACTACAAATACTATAGATACTACACATATATTCAATTGATTACTCATTTATTATATATACTGTAAATTAATTTCACCTAAAAAAATGTGCAACTCGAGCCATCAGTGCACCTGCCCCAGGTTGTAGAACATTACCTGAAAAAATATATATAAATATAAATATATGACTGTCATTTGTATTGCTAGTATGTTGGGATATTTTAAAGGAGACCAATTATGCAAAAATCACTTTTATAAGGAGTTTTAACATTATCGTGTCAACAGTGTGTATAGCCAGTCTCTAATGGTAAAAATAATTTCTAGTTTTATAATTACACTTCATAAAAATAGTCTGCACAAACACTGGGATTGACATTCTTCCTTTGTACGTGTCATCAGAGGGGGAAAGCTCCACCCATTAGTGATGACCTCTTCCACAGTAGCATAAACAGCCCTGAGTGAGAAGCAACATCACGGTTTTCACCTGTTGAAGATAATGTCAGTGGCTAAGAAGAGGCATAATAAATGTGGAGTTGAGGATGCACAAAAGCACACTGTAGTCTCCATAGACTTGTAGACTTCATAGTCACCTTCTCAGACACTTCTTTTTTCAGTTTTTGAAAGAGACAACATTAGTCCAGCTTTAAATCTGCAGCTATGCTGATGCACAGGTATTTTTAGCTCCGCCCTCTTTTAAAAAGAGCACAATCACATTTGAATTTAAAGCAACAGTCACCTAATTTGGACCAAAAGCCTAAAAGGGGTGATTTCAAAGAATTTTAAACAATAATCGGTGTGGTATTTCAAGCTGGAACTTTACATATGCACTCTCTGGGACATCAGATACTTATTTTACAAATTGTAAAAATGGTCATAATAGATCTCCTTTAAGCTGGTTGTCACCTGACTTACCAACACACACATCTCCTAGTAAAGAGGGCTTGAGTCCCACATCTTTAATGACTGCACTCATCACAGCACTAAGCAGCTCATCAGGGGTAGTGTCCTAATGTATGCAAATAAAACAATTGTTTTAAGAAAACGCTGTTAATGTCAGTGTGTCAGGCAGTCGTAGTCAGCGATACCCCACCTTAAAAGAGCCTCTCTTCGCCCGGCCGATGGCCGTTCTGAGCCCGTGAACCACAACGATATCATTGGGGTTCGCGGCTGTTGCGCTGCACTGCCTCAGTCCCATACGTCTGTTTGACGTTAGATGCCCCGACAAAATGTTTACTCTTTGCATTTTTATTGTTGAGAATGTGCACACGGAAAAATAAAACGATAGCCGTTAATCGACAATTGCACAAATGGTTGACATGCACTGTTAAATGAACTATGCTCTACATTTCTGATGATGTTTCCTGGTGAACCTTGCTTCCCTGGTCAGACTGCAAATCATTGGTTGTTGGTGCGTTCTGATGTTGCCGCGTGGAATTATGGGGAATGAAGTACACATGTAAAGCTCTTTTGAAAAGTGTTTTTCTAGCAATAGATCATATCTATCTATCTATCTATCTATCTATCTATCTATCTATCTATCTATCTATCTATCTATCTATCTATCTATCTATCTATCTATCTATCTATCTATCTATCTGTCTATCTGTCTGTCTGTCTGTCTGTCTGTCTGTCTGTCTGTCTGTCTGTCTGTCTGTCTGTCCGTCTAGTTTATTGTTTTTTGTTTTTTTCAAATATCACGAGCTATGCAGCCTTTTTAGGTTTAAACAGGCTACAAGATATTAGTTTTTTTTATCAGTTGCTTTGGTGCATTTCTCACAACACTATTTACATTTGCACAACAGTTAATGCGCTATTTGCACAGCCATTTGAAAACTACAGTAAAGTTAGACATTACTGCATTTAGTGAGGTATCTGAGTACAAGACACTGAATATGTGTTTCACATTTTTACTCCATTTGCTCTTTGCAATTCTAATTTTCTTCACAGCATTGTGCAAAAGAATAAATACACACTTATTTACAACAAACATAAACTTTCTTTAGGTAGAGCTGTGCACAACCGTAAACAATATAGCAGTACATATTGGAACTGAGCCTGAAACACACAAAGGTCTGTAAATCATGCATGAAATTATTCAATTTAGAAGACATTTTCAGGAAAAAAAAAAAGATGAACATTTTTATAAAATTGGCTTGACAGATTTTGCCTGTAGTTCAACATTTTTGTATTATGACTCAAATAATGAAATGAGGACTATTAATTTTATGGAATGACTATAAGCATTCACAAGTTCAGTTTTTTACTGACATAACATAAGCAAATGATAATGATATAAAACATCTGAGAGCTGTATGAAAGCAATTGATACATGTGCAAAAGCATTTGTAATTTGTTAGAAGGAATGAGAAACTGCTACTATGATGTGCACAAATAACTAATTGTTTAGAGAAATGCATTAACTGTTATGCAAATGTAAATAGTGTTGTGGGAAATGCACCAAAGTGCGTGAGAAAAACTGTAATTCAAGCATTTTTTTTTCACAATGTAATTAAAAAAAAAAAAACATCATCAATGAGTCATGCAGTAAACAAGTATTTAGAGATCATGAACATATAGCGTTTGACATTTTTTCCAATATACAATTAACCCCGTAATGTTTTTTTTAACATTTTTAAATTGTATATTTCATTTTGATATATGTGGGTTTTAAACAATATTCCGACATTTTCTAACCTCACAGACAAACCCAACCATTGCGTGTTTTAAGTTATTTAAATACATTTTCTAAACATAACTGTATTTTAAAATATTGTAGTAATAATATTTTTAAGTTTTCAACATTTTGTCATTCAAATCATTGTTATATATTGATTAAAAACCTTTGTAAAGTCACATAAGTTATGTAATGTTAAGTAATGTTATACTGCATTAGTTAATACGATTTAAATTAATGTTTTGTTTTTATTTTAAAATATTATTAAATAAATTAGGAAATTACCCATGGCAACTTTAATGTAATATAGTTTGGTATATTAACCTTCGGCCAAAGGCTCTCATTTTTGTTTGGTTTTTGGCTCTTTATACGAAACGTTTGGACACCCCTGCTTTAGACAATAAATCTCATGTAGTTTATCTTGTGGTGGACATTATAACTGTACCAAAATTGGCCCAATATTTGCTGAAAAATAATTAGGCTGTTATTTATCTTTATTTAGATTTTCAGAAAATGTTTGTGTCATATGCTATGCTGATGATACAGCTATACCTCTCAGCTCGCATCTCAGCCTGCCTGTTGGATATTTCACACTGGATGAAAGATCATCATCTTCAGCTGAACCTCGCAAAAACGGAAATGCTTGTAGTTTTTGCCAACCCGACTTTACACCATAACATTTCAATCCAGATGAATGGGGCAACCATTACTGCATCCAAAATGGTGAAAAGCCTTGGAGTAACGATTGATGACCAACTAAACTTTTCTGACCACATTTCTAACTGCTCGATCGTGCAGATTCGCACTCTATAACATCAGAAAGATCCGACCCTTCTTATCTGAACATGCAGCTCAACTCCTTGTTCAAGCTCTTGTTCTCTCCAAACTGGATTACTGCAACTCTCTACTAGCTGGGCTTCCAGCTAACTCTGTCAAGCCTCTTCAACTGCTCCAGAACGCAGCAGCACGAGTGGTCTTCAATGAACCTAAACGAGCACATGTCACTCCGCTGCTAGTCCGTTTGCACTGGCTGCCAGTTGCTGCTCGCATCAAATTCCAAGCTCTGATGTTTGCCTACAAAGTGACTTCTGGCCTTGCTCCTTCTTATCTGCTCTCACTTCTGCAGATCTATGTGCCCTCCAGAAACTTGCGTCCTGTGAATGAACAGCACCTCGTGGTTCCATCCCAAAGAGGGAAGAAATCACTATTGCGAACGCTCACGCTCAATCTGCCCAGTTGGTGGAATGAACTCCCTAACTGCATCAGAACAGCAGAGTCACTCGCTATTTTCAAGAAACGACTAAAAACTCAACTATTTAGTCTCCACTTCACTTCCTAATCTGCAATTGCCTCTCTGAATATCACACTAACTGTACCAAAAAAATAAATAAATAAAAATACTAATACTACTAATACTTTCCTTCTTAGACTTTACAGACCTGAAACTTGCCTATAGCACTTATTCATTGTTGCTCTTATAGTTGTGTAAATTGCTTCCTTGTCCTCATTTGTAAGTCGCTTTGGATAAAAGCATCTGCTAAATGACTAAATGTAAATGTAAAATGTAAATATTTAATGAATAGTCAACAATGTTAACATTATTATTATTCTTATTACTATTATTATTATTATTATTATTATTATTATAAACGAGCTATGCCAGGAACAAATTATTTTTGTTCTTTAAAAAAAAAAAAACACATTATCTATAAAATTATTATAAATTTTTTTGTAGAGTAAAGAACATTTTAAAATATAAAGAGGACATTTTTATGAAAATGTCATTTTTGGATGTTGAATGTCCTTCATTAAACATGGAACTATGGATCTAAATAAGCAGGTATGGGCAAAATAACATTGAAATGTATTATAAAACAAAAATACCAAATACCCCTATTTTAAGTGTATCAACATAAAGTACAAAATACAGCAGGCACAAATGTATCAAAGTAAAATACTGTATTTTGTATTTTGAAAATAATAAAAAATACTTTTACAAGGGGGCATGAAATTTATTTGCAAATCTTCAATCAATAGGTCTATTGGATCAGTTCCTTCACCATTAAACTGTTTAAGTGAAGTAAACAATGTTTGACAGCAACAGCGTTTCTCTGAGCAAGTTTAAGTCAGCTTCTCTGCCACCTCATACACCTCTACTCCTCTACATAGGGAGGTATTCATAAATCTTTGTTTCTCTTTGATTTTAGTATTATTTTTTGTACAAATTTCATGCAGAAAGTTCTGTCTTGAAGTTGATCTCTTTAATCATGTCGTTTGCAATTGCACTCTTCAATGCACAACAAAAACAAGATATCTCTAAAAAACTGAGCTCTCTGTTTTTGCAAATTAACTTTTCCCATGTAATGGGAGTCTGGAATTTTTGACCAGTCTGAATATACTGCAGTATTATTAAATTAAATTATTATTGTGACATTTTAAATTTTTAGACATCTTTCCTCTTCATTACCTATAAAGAGCTCCTGCAGATCATCTGCTGGGATTTGAAACAGCCTATGATTATTGAATTGCCACTCTAGGACTTATTTGAATGCTGTTTGTCTAATCTTATTGGCATTTACATCAGCAATCCATCTAAAACCACTATTTGTGCAGTTTACTCATTCTCCCGATATGTTTTCAGGTCCTTTTTTAACTACAAGAGTCTCAGTTTAACCCCTTAGTAAACACCAGTGCACCAGTGTTGTTTTCCCCTAAAATTCCTCTGCATTTGCACTGAGACTGATAATTATTATGTGCTGTAGGCTCCGTATTTCTATTTTTGGATTTTATTCCATTTTATTTCTGAAGCAAAGATACATTAGGTGAAGACACCCCTGCGGGCCCGTCCGCTACGCCGTTGCATAATTTCCATCCATACTCCAAGTATTGACCACCTTCTTCAATATTAATAAATTTTATGGTCTGGTCTCAAACCTAGGCAAATAACTGAGAAAGCATCAATCAAGTCATCATGTATGCTTCTAAAAAAAGTATTTTACAGTGTTTTAGAAATACAAAAATACAAGACACTAAAGTATTTTCATACAATATTAACCAATTTTCATAAACCGTATCAAATACAAATTACAAAATACTATTTTGTATTTGAAATACGTATTTTAATAATACTAGTCTTGTATCATAAATACTGCCCATCCCTGCAAATAAGCCAGAGTATTATCGACAAGCATGAGTGCGACGTGAGTATCAGTCGGTGGAGGGCGCCAGATTGTCATGCAGCGCTCTGTAAGCAGGCGCGTCATCGCTTCCTTAGCTCACATCACTCGCTCCTCTGTGGAAAAACTCGGCGTCAGTCAATGTTTGCGGAGAGGAAACTTTCTTCCTTTGACGGCGCGCAGTCGACGAGATTTGCAGCTTTCCCAAGCGCACACAGCTCCGTCTCTCTGGATTACCGGCGTCTGCGACTCCAAAAAACATAATCCGCAAAGCTTTTCGGAAGGTGGATTTGTGCGGTTCTCCTCAGTTTGTGCGTGACAACTGTATTCAAGTGCCCGCGGCTTCCGGATATATCACAGTTTTTTTTACTGTATCTCTTGCACAAGAAAGCAGTTTGCGGATTCTCTCCCCTCTTCACACCTTGAACTGCTCGCTTTAAATCGCACATTGGTTTATATCGTCTCAGCATGAAGATAAACACGTAAGGTGAGTTCTGTGGAATCATACTTGCTGCATTTGTATTGATGAGTGCAAACACAAAATGTCAGGGTTTGTTACACATAATGGTACAAAGATGATTGCTGTTATTATTACATGATATCTAACATATGCTGAGTTTCTGTTGTGTTTTTTTCAACTTGACACTTGAATATATAGCTATAGGCTCCATGTTTAATGTTTGACTGTGAACAGAATACAAATAAATACATGCAGGCAAAATGTGTACATGCCATTTGCTAATGTGATAAGATACTGCCCGGAAATTCTCGGATAACATTGTAATTTGTTAGTAATGTTGTAAATAATATTTGTTTTTATGTCCATTACTATAGAACATATAGGCATTGTATGGAAAGTGATCATTTTTGATTAAACACTTTTTATTTTGAAGATTATACACGTTATATTAGAAAAATAATGGCATATAAGCAATATAATATCTCAAGCTAAACTAATAACTACTTAATTGTTTAATATTAATAGTCATATATGATAAAAAAATAAAGCTTTAAGCAGCAACAGAGCTCTCTACAAATATTCACTTCTCAATATTTATTTGTTTATTTAAAAATTATGACAGTAGGGTTGATTGATTGGGTTGATATGATTGCAACCCCCCCCCCCCCAACCCCCACACACATACACACACACACACATTTGAACTGCTATCTTTTTGTGGACTTAATCCAGTATAAAAATCATTATGTCTATGGGATTTATATTTTCTCCTAAATCCAACCATCACAGAAAACATTTAGCAGTTTTACATTTTCTAAATACTTCAGATTTTTTAATTGATGAGTAATTTTCTTCATGGGGACCAAAAAAAAAAAGGTCTCCACAAGGTCACAATTTACTTTTTGCTATACATGTGGGAACAATTGGTCCCCACAATGTGAGTAGTACAAGGTGCACACACGCACACCCACCCACACACACATGACAGAATTAGTCCCAGCAAACTTAAATGATAAGAGAAAGTGATTTAAAAAGAAAACACATCATATGCATTTATGAAATCATGTCTGTTTAACAAAATAAGTCCACTAAAGTCATATAAAATGATATATTGATTAAATAGATAAAAATGTGCACTAATGGTAAAAGAAGACACTAAACATTGAGATATTAGAAATAAATTTGTTATGGACATACAAATGTTTCAAAACAAAACTAGTGTCACTTACATACATATTATATTGTTGTTATAATATATTGTGAAAAGATCTGCTGCATATATAAAAATATTTACCTAGCCAGAAATATGATTTTGGTAATAATAGTGATACTACAAGAGACACAAGGACAGCCAGCAGAATGAAGTAGAAGAGTGATGTTCTGTGCTTTTACTTCAGTAACTGAGTGTCTCATGACTCTGAAATACCTTGAGTTTATCTTTGTTTACTGACTGTCCTCTATTTAATGAGTCATTGAATATAGGCTAGTGTTTCTGCAGTGTTCAGATCTGTCTCAGCCAAACCCACTTCTAAGAATCTTTCTCAAGGCATGAGGAAGGAGTCAAGGTGAACTTTGTACTCATTGCGTTGCTTGTTGGGTTTCTGTTGAATCTTAAGCTGTGTTCACACTTTGCAACTTGGTTTTCTCGGTTCACATGCTTTGGATCAGAACAGAAAATTATCTATTTAATCATGATTAGGTTTTTTAAGCTAATTTTTAAGACTGAACCACCAGATGCAAAACTAGAAATGACTTTTGTGTTTTGTGACAAAACTTACCGAACATTCAAAACAACGCTATGTGCTTGGCTTTTACAGTGTGTGTGTGTGTGTGTGTGTGTGTGTGTGTGTGTGTGTGTGTGTGTGTGTGTGTGTGTGTGTGTGTGTGTGTGTGTGTGTGTGTATATATATATATATATATATATATATATATATATGTGTGTGTGTGTATATGTATATGGTTGACAGCTCATGAAGAGTCCAAAAAGTGCCAAGAATTTCACTGTCAGATAGAAATAAAGGAGACCAGATATGCCTGTATTGAGCTGTAAAGAGCAATATTGCAACTATGAAGGGAAAAAACAGGTTTGCTTGAGCATTATTTCCTTTTCATGGTTGCATCTTGTGACATCATGTCCTGTTTTTGGTTTGCTCAATTTTTTTTTTTTGGTGACACAATACATATTTTGCTCATTGTGTTTACCTAAAATGAATGTCACCAACCTGTCATCTCATCTTGTCTCTGTTGGAAGTGTCAGCGAGTTCAGGAAACTCCTTCAGAAACTATGCTTACTGACAAAACTGACAGTTTTAAAGAAGTTATCAAATGAGCTCAGTCTCTGAGCTGTAGTCCACTTCTAGTAATGTGGAACACATAAAGAAATCATTTTACAGCACATTTACATTCTACATTAAATAACAAAGTCTAAATTGCCTCATAAATGCCGTTGTTTAATCTTTATATAAACACAGTATATATAAACAGTGGCATAAAATGATCCTAAAATTACAATAATATTCAACCCAGGCTCTTTGACATTTTTTTGTGAGTCTTAACGCGGTCTATTTTGTTGCATATTTCAGAAGACAAAGGACACTGTCTACATTTTTTCAAATCAGAAATATGTGACATAGCGTACTTTGTTTTATTCATATTCATATACATGTCCTTCTTGTACACATCAGTGATGGTGAATAAGCATGGGACGATAACCGTGTTCAAGGTATACCGCGGGTTGGAAAAGTCAAGGTTTTAAAACCGTCAAAATTTTCTGCTATACCATTCCTAAGGTATGAGTAAGATTTTTGTTTTAAAGGACAACAGTATCTCCAGCAGAAAATATATTCAAAGATGCCATTTTAAATTGTAAAAAAAAATTGTGTTTTTGAATCCTGTGAAGACAGCATTTGTCAATAATTACTTCAAATTATTTAGCCTGACATGATTACTGCTCTAAAATATTTTAAATGTTTCCCAAATTAAAATATATTGTCTACAAAAGGGCAAAAAGGTTTTGTTTTTTACCCAGACATTTAAAAAGAATATATTTTAGAGCAGTAATCTCAATACCATGAAACCGTGATATTTATGTCCAGAGTTTCATACCGTTAGAATCTTATACCTGCCCATGCCGAGTGGAGCATGACATACAGATCAGCTAGACCAGTAAACTTACCACTTGCCTAAACCCTTCCATAACCCAAACAATAGTCTTTTCAAAAGCAAAAATAAAAGAAAGTGCACTGTGGTTGCATGGCTTTACCTTGGTTTTTACATTGCTTTTAGCTTTTTTATGGAACCATTTATTACCAGGCAAATGTATTCTGTACATGGTTTATTAGTTTGATAGTAATTCTTTAGCGTTGTGCAAAGAACTGCATGAAAATCATCTCTTTATCTATAATGTCCCCATAAATATCATTTGTGTGAAAAGTAACAAAAGTTCTTGGGGTCACACTGCCCTGTAGTGTTCCTTTTGTGCATACAGAAACTGCAGTCATGTTGAAGAATGCTCTAATATAGGCTTATTATGGTTCATATAGTAATATAGGTTCAAATATAGGCCAAGGCATTTATTTCCAATCAGTGTGTGTTGTTACTATAACTTATCACAATCATTTTTGTTACAACATAACACAACAACAACAATAATTTATAGTGAGAGACCAGCCTGATCTCATGAGAAAATTAACTATTTCTGTTTTGTGAGTTCATACGAGTTCAGTCATATGAAAATGTGCAATTGTAAAAAGGAGACGTAGCACCCAACCCCGCCCCTAAACCGAAGAATATAGAATGTACAAGACGTGTCACTAGTATAGTTTTGAATAAGGAAAAGTATAACTGTCAATATGACAAATGAAGCCCTGTCTACTAGTAGAGGAGCCAATCATCGATCGATATAGACTGACGTTTCTCCAGGGGAGAAGCTCAGACACGATGTGTGTTTTTATAATTTATTTTTGTGGTCAACAAGCCCACTTGAATGTCAGCGAATATTTGCTACAATGACATAAGAAATATATCATCATAATGCATGAAATCTACTTTTAAATTAACCAACTACACTTGAAAACACAACATTTTTGGGTTTTGTAATCCATATGAAATGAATGCAAGATACAGTCCGTCCACTTAAACGCACATCACATGACAGCAGCTGCTCAAACGCCCACAAATTTGTAAACTAAGACTCGCTTTCATTTTTGAAAGAGATTTGCCATCAAGACAAAGTTATGAATTACTTCAGAAGAGCATTGCGATCAGATGATCATTATTCAGAGGATGATAATGTGTAGAAGGGCTATAAATGAGGTTGGATGAGGTGATCTTGTTCATTTAAGTGCACATGCGCATGAACTAGGGCAACCTGAAAAAAATGAAGATTTAGTTTGATTCGAATGTTTAGAAATTAAACTTAAAAGGGCGTTTGTTGTTTAATCTTATTGGTGATTCCTACTATGTAAAATGATCGGAAGCTTGGCAAACAGTTTTGGAGAATTTGATGTTTCCTGTTTTAGACAGAATGCTCTTCAAAAAAGGTTGCCGAGTGAAATGACTTGTCTTAAATGGACTTTGCCTAAACCCAACTGTCATTGAAGACCAAATCATACTAAATTGTACATATAAAACCGTATGAGTTCATACAAATTAATTACTAAATCAAGAAGTATCAACAAATTGCTGTGTGATATCTTTGCACAGGCATATTTACTGTATCCAATACTCAATTTAAACTCAAGTGTGGTGATGTGCAGGCATAAACAACCATTTATACAGTACTGATGTTACGTTTTGGGTCAAAAACATCCCAGCAGCCTGGAGATTAATGCTGTAGAAATGCAACTTGAGTTGGATGGGATCTCTTGAGTCAGCTGACCTTAAAGTTTATCATTCTCACACAGGCCTGCTGCGCATTCATTCAGCCAAATTCCCAGGCGCCTTATTTATATATGCTCCACTTAGGAGTATCTAGAATTCATCCTCCCTAGCAAGGGAAGGAAAAATGGATTATTCTGTCAACTTGA